CCGATCGCCTACCTTTACTTACTCGTTCGCTTCCTTGTCTTCGTGGATGAGCCACATCAAACACGTGCCCTACAAGCTTTACGTCTAGCCCTTCGCTACAAAGGAGGAGATATCCCGCCTCGTCACCGATTACTTCCTCTTCCTCAATTGGCTCATGACTTTTTACGACAAGCTCAACATTGGTTGGACAGCTATATACTTCATCACCGAGAATGGTTCCCGCCTTACCACCTACCACGATACACCATTACCGAGAAAAAGGCCCCTACGCTTGGTCAAACCTTGTTCAATCACCACGCATGGCTACGACAGTGGGACCCAGAGAAACCCTTCCTGTGCTGTTGTCAACAACTGCCAGGACAACGCACACCCTCGGATCATGTCGCAGCCCCGGCCGATGTCGTTCTGAACGAATCCATCTATCGGGAAAACATGAGCGACGGCCGATGGTTGACCAAATCTCAATTTCGCAGGTTTACAGTGGCCCCTTTGAACCGATGGTTCAAGTTGTGGCGACAACCTGACCAATCCTTACTTCGCTGGCAAGTCTTTGTCTCACACCAATGGCAACTACACAGCCAAACTCTACGGATGCGACCTGACGGCAGACAGTTACGCGAACTCAAGAACTTACGGGAAAGCTCAGAGCACATCGTGATCTCCCCCATTGATCATGGACCGCATTTGGCTTATGCATTTTGTCCTCAACAATACTTCGACATCTTGACCAAGACCTTTCTGGATCCTGCAGTTTTCTGGCGACGAGACACCAACCCGATGCAGCTATCGGAACATATACAACGAGCCATCAAACGACATGTTCCTACACGCTATTATTGGGCCCTGGCACCCAAAGAATCTTTGCCGTACGCCTACGTGCTCCCCAAGCCCTCCAAACAATTCTTGAAGGGTCGCCCGATTGTCAGCTATTCCAACACGTGGTGTGCCACACTCGCGAAATTTCTTTCCACCGCCGTCCTACAGATGCTACAGACGGTTGTTCCACCTCAGTTCGTTTCTCCTACCGTCCACTCCATCATCCAGATGTTCATCCATGCCTTCCGCAACAACCCGGTCACCGTGGAACTTCAGCTACTTCAACAAGATCTTTCTGGTTTCTTCACTTCGGTTCCACATGATCGCATTTACCACTCGATCTCGTCGTTGACAGACATGTTCGCTCGCCACCAACAGATTCCTTTGGACTCTGACATACAGATCACGATGCGGGACCGCAATTCACTTGGTCGCCTATTTCGAGGCCGATATCGAAAAGCCGGTTCACATTACAAACCTCTATGCCTTCGTGACTTACCTTTATTGGTTATGTTCTTGCTACGTCACTCCTTTTTCACAGTTGGCACGGAGATTTTGGTACAACATCGCGGGGCCTCTATGGGCTCACCCATGGCTCCCTCAATGTGCGGAGCGAAAGCAGCCCTGTGGGAAGCCACATTCCACCAACTCATTCGCGATCAGATGCTGACCTCTCGTTATTTCTGTTCTTCACGCTACGTGGACAATCGTTGCCTCCTTCGGATTTGGGATGGGGAACTGGAATCCCTGGACGACTGCCAACGACACCACTCCCACCGAGGCCACGATCCTCTCTCTTCATCCTCTACGTCATCGTATGGTTGGTTCCAAGAGGTATATCTACATCCACATTTCTATGGCCTTCCCTTGGAATTGGAACATGTTCCGGGACAAGAACTGTTGGGCACCGTCGTGGACACCGCACAACGTTCCATCCGACTTGTCCTCCCACGGAACAGTATCTCTTTGCGCTCTCCGTGTTCGGTCTCTTCGACACGCAGGAACACTCAGGGACTTACCACGCGGATTTATCTCATTTGCCGATTATCCTGGCCCAAAGCCGTCATTGCACCTCAAGTTCGTGAACTTGTTCATCTATATCGTGAACGAGGTTTCTCTGAACGCTCACTGGAAGACGCATCCCGGTCCGTACTTCGTCGTTTTGGACTACGTTGGCGACAGGTCAGTGAACCCCCGGAAAACTTGCTCCCATGCGTGTATTGAACTGGCGCCCTTCCGTTCGTTGATTTATTCGCAGGCATTTTAGGTCAAGTTACCACCAGAGCCCTTAGTCATGGCCGGTTCATCCCCCGATTCCTATCTCTTGGACGACGTCACCTGGACACCAGACCCGGACATGGACTCAGACCTGGACGCCTCCTTCGCACATGATGCTGGTCTACCTCCCGCAGGTTCAGATGTTGATGGGGACCCCACACCTCATCGCACCCTTCCTCTTTCTCCCTCTCCTCTCCCAAGAACACGACCCAGCAAACGCCGTCGACGACATCGCCACCATACTACCTCCTCTTCTTCCACATCATCTCGACCTTCCAAGGCCACGTCAACATCATCTTCGACATCTTCATCGTCTTCATCCTCTTCCTTGTGCCCCACTACGGAACTACAAACAGTGGACCCACCTACCTCCTCGTCCCGTTCGAAGAAACGTCCACGGAAGACACCTTCGGAGACCAGCACTACCACTCCAGCGACAGGAGCTACACCAGCCACGACGAATCCTCCCTCAGCAACATTGGACGCTCCCCCTCGTGTCCGAATTCCTCCCCGAGGAAATGGTTATACATTACATCGAGTACGCCGCAGCAAGTCGGGCACTACACATTCCACCGTTTCATTCCATGGAGATGCCGCAGAACGTCGCCGACAACAGTTTGGACATCATAGCACATGAACGAGGAGGACCCACTGCAGCTTCGGACAATTTACGGATACGACGCCGCTATGACCTACCAGAAGACCAACTCATTCCTTTGGCACTCATCTACCGGGATTGTGCCGCTCGCAGACGACGGTCCGTTCGCGAACTTCTGAGTACCTGATTCCAACGAGATCCCGCTCTGGAAAACATGCCCCGACATCTCCGTTTCGTCATTCCCACACCCGCAGCCTTTTTACCGCAGCTTTTCTGTACAAACACAGTTGGTTTCCCTTCCTCACCCACGAATGGCTTCCTTCATTGACGTCCTCCCCATGATCCTCTCCTATTTCGAAATGCAGACTATGATACAATTGGATCCCCGTCATTGCCAACGTCCACACACTGATGACCGCCACACCACCCGCTCCGCCTTCTCCATTTTGACCGCACATCACGGCGATTGTTCCTGGCATCAGTATGGCGTTTGGCAACAGTTCCTCGCCGCCCTACAAGATCACAAGATGAGCGCCCACAACTTCTTTGGCTTCCACCACGACAACACGGTGTTCACGATCTATCATTTTCAGCCCTCGGTCATCGTATACTGCAATCGACTGTGTTGGCGAGCCCACGTCCATCTACGTTCTGCATCACGACTTTGCCTACGTGTTCGTATTCGAGATCCTACCCTAGCACAGTGGCGACCTACTTCGTCCGGACCCTGGATCACCACATGCTGGTGTTCAGCGCATTGCCTTTCCTTTTCCAAATGGACACCTACGATTTCTCGCCGCCACTCACCTCCTCCACCCATCACAACGGACAATCCTTATTGGCAACAGGAACAACAACGACATGGTCTTCTCCCCGCTCTGAGACGGTGAAGCTTTGGAGGACACTGACGGAAATTTTTGAGACAAAGACCCTCACTTGTGCATCTTGACCGTGGTCCATTTGATCTACCGCAGCCTTTTCAGCAATATTTGGTTAGTCCTCCGCCTCTCCTTTCCTTCCTTTCGTCGCCCGTACACTCATGGCCCCGCACCTACTCGATATTCCTTTGGAATGGTGGCTTGACTACCTGGTGGAGCTCCGAGTATGGCAAGTTCGTCCGATGACCTCCCCCGATCTCCAGATCCCCAGCACCCTCCTTGATCCACGCTTTGTCATATCACAGCACCGATTCACGACCTCTCAGAACCGCTACTACCTCGACACCCTCCATGGACTTTGTCAACTCAATCCTTCCTTCCAACGACTGGATTACTATGACCCGAACATCTGCGGGTACCAGTACAGCATGTTCACAACCGCACCATCCCCAAGCGTACTTCACGCATTACTTCTCGCTGATCGTCGACTACATTCCATAATGAGCCAACTGATACTTCGTCATCGTTGGCAACTTTGCCTTGGTCTACTGGCACCTAGAGTCTACGCTCGTCATGTTGATCGACGTCACTTTCAAAGGCACGAATTGCCAACTCCTCTCCGAGAAGTTCTCCACCGACTTTCCTTGCACCGCTGCCAGATCCTGCAAGTTCACCCGACGGCTCTACCTGCTCTACATGCTCACCGTCTTCGTCTGATTAATTCACCCCGCTACGGCGGGGTGTGTGTGTGACAACCCTGTATCCAAGGGTCTTCTCCTCACGCTCTGCAGCCATTTCCTACTTACGATTTACATATAACTGAACTTGAGCACAGAGTACACAGCAGGGGGCACAGGCCCATGGTGGTACCTGTGCCAACGAAGCTATCCACCATGGGGGAAGCGGAGTCTGATCAACTCCGTGTACCTGCACAACGAACGTATTTGGTATCTAGCATCCTCGCTGTGCATTGGTTATACTTTATGCGTGAGGAAATCTTCTGGATGGCCTGGGGCCAAGCCAAGAACCCCATTCTGAACTCCGTCAGTGCTTGCGTGACATCTTGGCATACAGTACTTGCAGTGCTTGCTTGCGCCGGGATCGAGGTTCAGGCCCTTTGTGGTTTAGTCAGGTCTTCAGGTTTATGTGGGATTACTTTGAGCTGTTCAGCTTCGACCTTACTGCACATGAAGATACGTGTTCAAAGTTGCTGGTGCATGGTCGCCCAAGACCTGGGCATCAGGTGGTCCTTCGCATACAGAAACCTCTCTTAGCATTCAGTGTGTGTGTCTGCACTGAAACGTCCTTTGACATGATTGTCAGAGCACAGCCAAGCGAGTTTCTCACTCCAAGCTTCCAGTATTCCGTTCATGCCCTGTGCAGCATCTCACCCGGGTGCAAGCCGCAAGCCACTCTTTTCTTTTGCTCAGGTGAAGCTGTCTTCTGCCAGCAGCTTGAAGGAGGCGGGACTTAGGAGCAGATTCACGAGTCGCGTCAGCTCCCCCGTCCCAGGCTGGCGTGCAGGAAGACGAGGTGCTCACAGGCATCCTGCGGCGAGATGATCTGCACCTCGATCCTTTCTGGCTTGGGACTTGGGATCTCGGGTTGAGGGCTGTGTGCCTATACAGGCCAGCGACATGTTTTCGCAATTCCAGTTTCTAGGGCCGTTGTAGGGAACCGAGGCAATAACCCGTAAAGGGGAGACCGTAAACCCTCCAAGGACCCTCGCAGAATGTGAGATTGGCCGAGCAAGAAGGGCGCAGGCGGTTTAGGGCGTAGATAGTAAAGCATAAAGCTGGAGAGTGATGGGAGACTTTTTCAGGCTGTCTTGGTTTGCTTGGTTTCGTGCCGCTATTCAGTTTTTGCTGGCATAGTCTGTGTCTGTGTAGCAGGTGCAAAACATGCAAAGCCCTCAGCCAAGCTCCAGCGCGAACACATGCGGCTTGTCGTGTCGGTTCATGTACAGGGCGCATTTTTGGCAGACTTTTCAGCATTGCCCTTGCAAAACGAGCCAGCAATGAACCTGTAGTCTTGGTGTGTTGTTCAGAGACCTAGAAGCCCCCACCAAGGCATACGTGGCTGTCGCATAAGTCTTCCTTTCTCTTATGTAGGGCAGACGAGAAGAGTTTTTGGCAAACCAAGTTGTTCTATTCTATCATTGCTGCTATTAATTGCTACAGAACACCCTGAGAGGCCTCTACATAATCCTTTCTCGAAACCTAAAACGTCCAGCAATCGGTGTGAAAAGCGCCAGCTGTGCATCCGAGGATCTTTCACGAGAGTACATGCTCCATCTTGAGGGGGGCAGCCTGGCGAATGCTTACCCGAAGGTTCGAAATAGCCCCAAGGCCCAATCTAGGTTGTTGCTTCGGCCCAAAGCAAGGCAGGGCTTGTGCGGCTGGCTCTCCCATCAGGCACCAACTAGAAGCATCCTGTCTAGAGCTCCTGAAGAAGATAGTCGCCTCTTGTTGAAGAAGCCTTGATTTCAACACCGAGGATGGCTCTCTGTTCACGGTTGGTGATGGCTCTCCCACCAAAGAGCATCTTGGCCCAGCCGCCATGAGGTTTGCTGTTTGAGAGTTTCAGGGATTCAGGGCTCTTTGGTCTTAGGATCGAAGGTAGCGACGGTTCGAGATGGTCTTGAGTTGGTCTCGTGGCCCAGAACCCTACGAGTGCACGCCCCTTCTCCGACTGTCACGCATACGTGGCACACTTGGACAGAACACGCAATGCCATTTCTAAGCAAGCATCCTTCGTCTTCGACATCATACGAAGCTGCACTTGCAGCTTCATTCCTGAGACCCTTGTCCCTTCAACTAGAAGCCCTCACGCTCCTGAAGAGTTGCTCGTAACACTACAGCAAGCCTCAAGCTCGAATCCCGTGTATCAGCTCTGCAGATACCAGATCCCCGAGGCCTGGCGACTGGGAGGAGCACGTGGCAAAACCAGAGTACTTGGAGGTGATTTGGCGGGGAGTGTTCAGGATCCATCCCTGTTTCCGAGGGCCTAAACAGGCTCCTAGGTTTGATTGCGCGATTGCGCAGTGCCTACAGAAGGCCAGGTGCTCGCATGGTAGGTTACAGTCCCTTTATTACCCATATTGTGGAAGCTTCACCTGGGTGGTCCAGCTGTGCATGCATCCTTGCTTACTGTTACTTAACGGCATAGACACCTCCAACTCACCGAGGACGTGCGGCAGATTGGAGCGTCTGAGGCGGCTTTTGCGGCCTTGTTGGAGGACAGCGCAACCCCCTGCCACACATGCTCGTAAAGCACCCAAGAAGCTGTTGACTACACCAGACTGCTGCGACGCGGGTCAGCGCTCCGGCACTTCGGCACAAACGCTGTGGTAGCCTTGGAGGACGGCTCCGTTGTGACCTGGGGAGATGGACGCTACGGCGCAGACAGCAAGGCTGTGCGGCGAAAGCTGAAGCTTGGCGAGCTTGAGTGCTCGGGCAGGGCTTCCAGGATTGACTTCTTTTGCCACGAAGTCTTTGGGTGCTTCTTCCTGGTTGCAGCGGTTGGGCTAGCTGGTTGTGGAATCCAAGAGCGGGTAGACACAACCCATCCGTCGCACAGAGACGCAGGGGACCTTGCAGACCAAGGGTTTTTGAAGCAGGGCGAGTACTCGAGGCCTGAGAGGACTGTGTCGGACGTCCAATCCAAATAATTAAAGACCATACTTTTCAGAATGAAGCTGCAGTTGCATGCCAAACGCCGAGCTCAAGGTCTTGATGGGTGATTGTCACGAGGCCGAGCGGAAGCAGCACAGCTTCAGAATCTAACGCATGCCAGCATAAGATTCATGGCAAGATGGTGCTGTCTGTACGGTGGGCTTGTCGATACTATCCGATAGCCGGTGCAAGGAACGGCATTCGTCGCGTCATCGCATCCAACTACGCCTTCGCAGCTGTTTGTGAAGATCGCACGGTGCCTGGAAGCAAAGAGTTTCGAAGAATCCCGTCGCTTTTGCTTTCCTGGCTTGCACGTTGAATCAAATCCGAAGAAATCGTGGAGCTGTTTGTGGTTAGCTTCAAAGGCCTGCATTTCTCAGCGTATGACCCCTAGAGAGTCTCAGCGGACGTTTGTAGGTCACTGGCGAGGCTTTTTTCCAAGATATCTCCATCTGATGTAATTTTAACCCCCCGAACAAACGCACCAAGGCTAAGGCCTCGACGGCCCATGATCCTTCAAACAGAAACCTAACGCAATACTACAATCAAGTACAGCTCCCAGCCTTGGAGATACATCGCCGGTTGCCTGCGTTGCGCGAGGTGGTCGCATGGGGTGACCCGGCCTTCGGCGGCGACGCCTCCCCCTTGCAGAGCCGCCTCAGGGGCGTGGAGGACCTGTTGCTTCTTGCATTCCAGATTTGGGGCTTCAGGGCTTCAGGAAGCTCGGGTACGCTTTCGACGGAATGGGATGCCCAGCATCCCACAGAAGCAGCAATTCTCCTTCCTGATGGCGTTCCTGAGTCCGGATTCCCCCTAGAGCATCCAGGCTGCACACTGCTCGCATTCTCGACTCTTGAGTGTAGAGGTGGAAGGACAGCCCCGACAACTCCAAGCTTCTACGGGTACGTTTCTGCAGGACATCAAAGCTACTTCCTGTGCCTTTGCAGCTGTGTTGGAAGATTCCTCGGTGATGGCCTCTCGGCTTGCGAGAGTGTGGCGTGTTCTGGGATCGGGTTCACGAGGCCGAGCCGATGAGGAAACTCCATTTCGACCCGTCACAAGGGTTCCTTAAAAACTTCGAGGAATGGGGGGGGGGGAGTTCTCATTCATTCAGGGCACCTACCACTGCAAGTTGCAACTCAGGCCTGGGGCCACCCGAACGGCGGCAGCAACACTTTGGCACTCCGACGGTTGCGCCTGAGAGTGCAGCAGAGCCTGGGCACTGAGAGGCACAGAGAGGTTTCAGAAGCTTTCTTGTGCAAAGTTTGGCAGCCGATGACCGATTGATAGCCGCACTACAACAAGCTCGCAGTAATGCTCTGAGTGGCCACCTAGAGGCTCAGCGGACGCGGGAACCCCAAGTACTGCAGGATTCCCATAAATTGCCTACAACCCGCTGAACCCAACTCCCTCCCCATACAAAGCCTTGAAGCCAAGGATTGAAGCCACCTCTGGGGCTTTTGCCGCATTGCTGGAGGACTGGGGCTGCACGGCAACCTTCTAACTCGTGGTTTTTGATGCACATCAAGCTTGAGAATCGATCTTAAGTACAAGATCATCTTCTCGGGATGCACATAATCCTACCATAATCAGGAGGTTATCAAAAGTGCGCCTTGAAGCCCAAATTTTTAGGTCAACTACTCCTTATATAATTCAGCAGGATTCGGAAGTTCAGCTCAGTGCTGCTTGAGGTTCTAGAGACTTCTTGGTATCTGGGTACAAGTTTTTTGGGCTTTGGGGGGGTCGAGGGTTATAGGGTTTAGGGGTATAGGAGGTACGGACTGTTTGCTTGTTTTGAGCTGGGACTCAGAACCGGTAGTTTTTGCATGCTGTGGCAAAGGGCCGGAGAGGCGGTTTCTGATGGACGACAGCTGTATATTGCTCTGATGTGAGTTCCTAATGTAGAGCCCTGATGTTATCTTAGGTTTCGGCAGCTCGGCTTGTCGAGCAAGGGCTCGCAACGGAGCTTTTGGGGTTCTCACGGGAGGCGATGTGAGAAAGGCAGGGGATGGAGGGCGGGTGAGGCGACGCGCGCCTTGACGATGCATGAGGGTGCGCACATTGAAAGGTCTGGTTGGGGGAACCTGCGGAACCTTGCAGAATCCTTTGTTTGGCATTCGGTGCCTTGGTACCCAATTCCCATCATGGATCGGCTGTTGCTTCTGATGGCAGCCCTTACTGCTACTGATTCTCTCTCTGCCACGGTCTCTGCCACCTCTACGACCGTCTGCCGGACAGGCTTCTAGCCTAGACAAACGGTCGCTGCTGGATGAGCAGATGTTCGGCAGAGCAACACAGGAGGAAGCAGACAACTACTAGTAATTTCTGAAAGAAGTTGCCCAAGAGCATCGCCAAAAGGAGCAGATCACCGAGGGTCTGCGAAGCCGCCGGGGTTAACTACAGATCTCTGTTTGGAGGACGGCTCGGTGCTGGCCTGGGGTGATCCCGAGCCTTGGCTGATCCTACATGGTGCAACGTCAGATTCACCAGTCACCACCACGGAAGATATAACCCCAAACAGTATTCTTGAGAGGTTCTTGTTAAGTTGACAGAGAGAGCCGACATTTCACGCTAGGGGATGGCCGATGCTGGGGTTTTCGATGTGTTTTAGCCGTAAGTTCAGGCTTTTTCGATGCTTCCTCTTGTACGTTTGTTCGGGACCGGGGCCCCAATGCTGAGACAGTGTGAGAAACGGGAGCCAGCCGAAAGGGATCAGAGACCCAGGAGGAGGCCGCTCGACAAGCAAAACGCTCGAAAGTGAAACAGTTTTGCGGGCAGAGAATCTGGCAAGGAGAAGATGATATTTCGAACGAGAAGAGAGCCTCTGACAAAGAGATGCCAGCCGCTCCCAACAAACTAGAGAGTTGTGTGACAACAAGAGGAAGCCACTCGACAGTGATTAGATTTCGCAACGTAGCAAGCTGCTCGAACCAGCCTGGAGAACCTGAGCGAGAGAGGAGCAATCCGCTCGAGAGTTTGAGCAAAGAGGCGCAAATCGTTCAAACGGAGCTAACTAAAACGTTTCAGAAACAGTAGCACAGAGCCCGAACACGAAGCGACGAGACAGTTTGAGAAACAAAGAGGAAGTCATTGGAAAGAACCGGGAGTTTGAGAAAAACGAGCAGTCACCGGGAAAGGGCACCAGACAGACTAGAGAACTTGTCGAAGAGGAGACATTAAGAATGAGGAGCGGCAAGGGATTGGCAAGTTTGACAAGCAAAAGAGCACCGTTCGAAAGAGCTTGGAGAATTTGGGTTTAGGGTCTGGGGTTTACGGGAACATGCGCGAAAGATGAGGAAGCTTTCGAAGAGAGAAGAATGGTGGAATAGGAACAGGATTGCGAAATAAAGAGGAAACATCGAGAAAGAAGAGCAACCCAGTTCGAAAGGGATTAAAACATGGAGAAACTGGAGCACGCCGCTCAGAAGGGACTACAAAAGAGTAAAGTGTGTGAAAAGACTAGAGAACTCTGACAAAAAGTCAAACCAGTCGAGCAGCTATCGATAACTGACACAGCCACTCGAGAGGGACCAGATTTTGAGCACAAGGCGCAAACCGCTCGAAGGAGGCGCAAACTGCTTGAGGGAGGGAACCAGAAACCTCTAGCAGCAGGAGCAAACCGCTCGAAAAACATGAAAGAAGTCGACGAACACGAGGATTGGATACCGAGCAGCAAACCACTCGAAAGTGATTAGCCAAGTTGGGTTGGGGTGCTTGTCTCCCTTCACTTGGGCTCTTCACAGGAGTTGCGGTCGGTAGCGCAACACGATCTCGTAAATCATGGTATACTTTGCTGTGTTCAGACTGTGCAGCATGAGGCATGCAACAAAGTTCTGTGTATACACACACACAGATGATAGACATATATGTCGTATATATATAAATATAAATATATATATATATATATATGTATACATACACGTGTGTGCATGCATGCATGTACACAGGTACTGTGGAGCTGGTGTTGTGTCGTTGCCATTGCAGTCTTCTGGGTCGTGGGTGTCGGTGCATTGCCTGCACTTGTTTCGAGAACCCAGGACCAAGGTGGCGATTGCCGTGCTGTGCGGAAGAAGCTGGTCAACGTGCGGCGGATCGGCTTTAAAAGGGGGGTTCGAGGATCGACAACGGGTATACTTATGATACCAACAACAACGACACGCATGGACAACGGTACCTAGAGTGTGATACAATAAAAACACCAAGCAGCCCGGGCGAGGTTGACTGGGCAGCTGTCTGTCCAACCGCGCCAGTGTTGAATGGAACACTATTCTGGTCTTGTCTGGAGTGTCGACTCCTATTGTGGCTCATCCATCGTCAGTGCTGAAGCAATTTTTGACCAACCGACGAGTGTCTGTATGCAAGGTCGACATGTCGGCTGACTTTGTTGCCAGCTACTGCGCGAAAAGATGTCAATAACGTTAAGACTGCGACCTGTTTCCAGACGCTACATCGATTTCCAAAGCTTTGATACCCAAAGCCTGAGACGCGCTGCCGAAGAACCGTCGTCTTTGCAGGGAGCTTCGGGCCAACTCGGGTGCCTTTGCAGCCCTCCGACGCGATGGCTGTGTAGCGGCCCGGCAGAGTGGAATTGAGGGTTTCTTACAACAAGTGTATCTGAGTTTCTTAGATACATACCTATATATACATATATGTCCATACACATATGTTGTTGTATATGCATGTCTAGACATATATATTTATAGACATATGCAGAATTCAAAGTGAAGAAAATACATCAGCATGTGTATGCATACATGTAGGTATGTATGTATGTAGGTGTATATATATATATATGTATACATATACATGTATATGTATATGTATATATACATATATATGTACGTATACATATATATATATATATAGTTATATATATATATATAAATATATATATATATATATATATATATATATGCTACCCCCCCCCCCCCCCCCCATTGACCTACCTTTGTTGGGGGTCTCAGGAGCAATGAGTGGCAATGATGCATGGACAAGGGAGGGCCTATTTTTGTCGCCATTATTTTTTTGCACCTGTGGCTTTTTTCGCGTGTTTGTTATAGATAGTACTAGTACTGGTAATAGTAAAGAGTAATAGAGTAATACAATCATAGACTAATAGACGAATAGACGAATAGACTAATAGACAGAATAAACTAGTAGACTAATAGACTAATAGACGAATAGACGAATAGACTAGTAGACTAATAGATTAATAGACTAATAGACTAATAGACTAATAGACTAAACAAACTAAACAGACTAAAAGACGAAAAGACTAATAGAGTAACAAAGCAATAAAGCAATAGAGCAATAGAGCAATAGCAATAGAGTAATAAAGAAAGAGTAATAGTACAAGAAACAGTGCGCGCGAAGCGCGTGACCCGCAGGCTTTGCTCCATGACTTTATGCATTGGTATTGGTAATAGTAATAGTAATGGTAATAGTGCTGCATAGTAATAGTAAAGCAGTACCAGTAACAGTAGCAATAGCAGTATTAGTAGTACGAGTAGTAGTAGTAGTAGTAGTAGTAGTAGTAGTAGTAGCAGTAGTAGTAGTAGTAGTAGGAGTAGGAGTAGGGGTAGTAGCAGAGTAATAGAGTCATAGAGTCATAGAGGAAATAAAGTAGATAGAGTAATAGAGTAATAAATAGAGTTAGTGGAGTAGTAGAGTAATAGAGTATTAGAATAGTAATAGAGTAATAGAGTAATAGAGCTTTTGGAGTAAGAGAGTAATAGAGTCATAGGGTAATAGAGTAATAGAGTCATAGAGTATAAGAGTATGAGAGTAACAGAGTAACAGGGCCCAGGGCCCCAAACAAACAAAAAAAAATGGCAGCAGAAACAGAAAACTAATGTGGCCAGATATTCTCGGCCCCAAGTTCAAGACTCCAAAAGATTGAGGCCTCTCAGCACTTTGGAACTGTGAGAGCTGCAAAACCTGGAGCGGCCCCAATCTTTTTGAGATTCAAGACTCAAAAAGATTGAGGCCTCTCAGCACTTTGGGACTGTGGGAGCTCCAAAACACTGAGAGGCCTCAATCTTTTTATGATTTTGAAGCCAAAACGCTGGGAGGCCCCAAAAGACTCAAAAGACTCAATCTTTTGGAGGTCTTAGGAAACTAGCCTTAAAATCAATAAGATTGAGGCCTCTCAGTGTTTTGGAATCTGGAAGCTGCAAAACATTGAGAGGCCTCAATTTCTCTGAGGTTCGGGATTCCAAAAGATTGAGGCCTCTCAGTGTTTTGGAATCTGGAAGCTGCAAAACACTGAGAGGCCTCAATTTTTCTGAGGTTCGGGATTCCAAAAGATTGAGGCCTCTCAATGTTTTGGAATCTGGAAGCTGCAAAACACTGAGAGGCCTCAATTTTTCTGAGGTTCGGGATTCCAAAAGATTGAGGCCTCTCAGTGTTTTGGAATCTGGAAGCTGCAAAACACTGAGAGGCCTCAATCTTTTTATGATTTTGAAGCCAAAACGCTGGGAGGCACCAAAAGATTCAAAAGACTCAATCTTTTGGAGGTCTTAGGAAACTAGCCTTAAAATCAATAAGATTGAGGCCTCTCAGTGTTTTGGAATCTGGAAGCTGCAAAACACTGAGAGGCTTCAATTTTTCTGAGGTTCGGGATTCCAAAAAATTGAGGCCTCTCATTGTTTTGGAATCTGGAAGCTGCAAAACATTGAGAGGCCTCAATTTTTCTGAGGTTCGGGATTCCAAAAGATTGAGGCCTCTCAATGTTTTGGAATCTGGAAGCTGCAAAACACTGAGAGGCCTCAATTTGTCTGAGGTTCGGGATTCCAAAAGATTGAGGCCTCTCAGTGTTTTGGAATCTGGAAGCTGCAAAACACTGAGAGGCCTCAATTTTTTGTGATTTTGGTTATAGTTTCCCAAGACCTCCAAAAGATTGAGTCTTTTGAGTCTTTTGGGGCCTCCCAGCGTTTTGGCTTCAAAATCATAAAAAGATTGAGGCCTCTCAATGTTTGGGAATCTGGAAGCTGCAAAACACTGAGAGGCCTCAATTTTTCTGAGGTTCGGGATTCCAAAAGATTGAGGCCTCTCAGTGTTTTGCAGCGCCCAGAGTTCCAAGGTGCTGCGAGGCCTGAATTTTTTTGGTTTTGGATACAGTCTCCCTCGACCTCCGAAAGATTGAGTCTTTTAAGAAACTAGGTCTTTGGGAACGCCGCTCCATTCGGGTACACCCCGCCCCGACCCACCCTTGCCTTTCAAAAAGACCAAAAAGGGTAGGTCAATGGGGGGGGGGTACCATATATATATATATATGGACACACCCCCCCCCATGACCTACCTCGGCCTCTTTTCCATTGTAAATACCGTCAAAACCTTCTCTTGGCAGGGATTCGCGTTTGGCATACGATTCGTGTTTTGCGTAATTTTCGGGGATGATACCTTCTCTATCATGGCTGATGTGAAGTCATGTCTCTTTACAACGTCGTGCCTACTCATGTCCGCTTTCAAATTCATATGCCTGTATTCATAAGCAAGAAACATTAAAAGAAACCATACGATACGACGGCGGAAACCAAAAAACCAAAAATCCAAAAATCCAAAGCCTTTCTGAGGGGCCCGAAACTTTTGGATTTTTTGGTTTTCCTAGGTCTTTTTTGGTTTTTTGGGCTTTGCCTTGGCGAAACCATGGCTTTTTTTGGATTTTCGGTGGAAAACCAAAAAAACACAAGGTTTTTTTGGTTTTTCTGCTGTGTCTCTCGTGAAAAACCAAAAAACACCTGTGTTTTTTTGGATTTCTGCTGGAAAACCAAAAAAACCTTGGATTTTTTTGGATTTCTGCTGGAAAACCAAAAAAACCTTGGATTTTTTTGGTTTTCTGTTGGAAAACCAAAAAAACCCTAGGAAAACCAAAAAATCCAAAAGTTTCGACCCCCCTGACAAAGGTTTTGGATTTTTGGTTTTTTGGTTTTTTGGATTTTTGGTTCTCGGAGCCTTAGAGCCAATACAGCGCGCAGCATGCTTGATCGGAAATGGTTTCGTTGTTTACACGCAGTAGTCTTCAGATGTGCATTAGGCATTAGTGTTAGTATTAGTATCTGCGTTCTAGCGTGTTGATTCGTGTTACTGTTAGTGTTGGTGTCAGTGTCAATGTCAATTCCAATGTCAGCGTTAGTATTAGTCTGAATATAAGTCTATACAATAGGTGTACTAATGGTAGTGTTAATGTCTAGTGTGAGTTTTAGTATTCGTATTAGTCTTGGTCTTAGTCTCTGCCTTATTCTTAGTGTTAATATTAACCAGGGTATAGTCTCATAGTCTATGGTAACATTGGAATAGTAGTATACGAGTATATTATTTATTGGTATGTGAAAATACAGATTCTTTGGTACATTGATGTGTCTGTTTTTTGTATTTGGTTTGAACGTGATTATTAGTAATCGTAGGAGCATTAATATTGGTATCAATAGCAGTATCGCTGTTCATACTATGCATAATCGTATTATCTGGAGTATCAAGTGGTAATACTGCTATTCATGTTAGTGTAGGTTTTTTAATGTGAATATAAATACTGAGAATAATTAATAAGACTATGCGCATTAATCTGCGGAGGAACTGTATCACTTATGTGCATATTGGTATTAATGTTAGCATTTGCGTGTATATTGGTAAAAAATAAAAAATAAAATTACTATCAATATGGGTATGTTTTTTAATATTCGTAGGAACACTAGTATTCATATTAGTATCGGTATTACTGAAAGTACCCGTCTTCGTAAAAGTATTTGTAATCATACTAATTCATATCAGTACGAGTATTAAGATGAATTATGATGCGCATATGAATACTTTCGAAGGAAATGCTGACCTTAATACGAATACCCATATTAATGTCCTATTATGTATAATCGCAGTAGCCTGAGTATTGGTATGAATATTCGGACAAGTATTAGTATTCCAAACAACTAGTACTATTAGTATTCATATTGAGAACAGTTAATAAGAATATGCGTATTAGTATCCCCAGGAGTGTTAATATTCCCATCAGCACTACTATTCGAATTAGTAGTGCAATTTTTAATACTAGTATTAACCATTAAGCCTATTATGTTATGAACAGTAATATCCTTATTCGTAGGAATAGAAATCTTAGTATCAGTATTAGTATTCGCACTAGTAATAGCTATTATACACATTGGCGCATGAGTAACCTAAGAGCTTCACACAGAATAAACATGTGTGCACATGTAACCCTCATTACGATCCTAGGTAGGATGCACACATCGTTCTGTTTTGGTCCCGTCTTTGGGTTATGCCTATGAGTACATGAACAAAATTAAAAACAGACAATGACAAACACAAAGTTACCCGGCGCATCTAACGATCTTACGTAGGATGTAGACACTGTTCTGTCTTGGTCCTGTCTTCGGGTTATGCCTATGGTCATTATATGACCAGAGTTATGAATATCCGGAACATTTAGGCAGTATCCTATTAAACAATTGCAGGCATTGAAGCTTGCCCAAATCCGCCAACGGCGATGTCGCGCCGTCGTAGGTCATTACAGTGTATTCAGCTATTGATTATACACGATATACGTTTCCATTGTTTATGTATGAGTGTATTTTATCCTAATGGTTTCCTCAAATCCTTACATGTTCTACTACCCATTGCTAGCCGAAGCACCTCGCGGTAGGTCTTGGGGGGGGGTGTGAGCATATATATATATATATATTTATGTTTTTATGTGTATACATACATATATATATATATATATAGATATAGATATAGATATGTATATATATATATATATATACATATCTATATCTATATCTATATCTATATATATATATATATATATATATGTATACGTGTTTGATAGAAACGGTACCGTGCAAATGCGACATGGATAATCATATATCGCCATGTGTAGCTGTTTATTGTGTATTTGTTGATCATTCTTCTGTTTATCCGAAAGGGCTGGTGGTTCTTAATTACTGCCTGGCTTGCAGTTGCCAGGATCCGCGCTTGAACCGAAGCGTTGAGATTCAACGGGCTGTGAGGATCGAGCGAGAGCCGGCCCGAAAGGGGTCATCTTCCCATCCCATAAGAGTGAGACGAAACAGGAGTCCAGGCGTGGCACTGAAGCAACTAAAGGAGGGAAGGCAGCAGGAGCAGCTCCTTCGTTTAGGCAGTCGGAGGAGCGTACTATGCGTAAGGGACTGAGTCGATGTTTGTCAGAAATGAATGCGGGGTTGTCCGGTTTCTCTGAGTTGAAGAGCTCACTCGAAGCCAGGTGGCATGGGGAGATCATTTTACCGGAGGGGATCCGTCCCTTGTTATGCAATTAGTTCTGAATGGGCGTCAACACCTCGTACGAGTTGCGGTCTCTCTGTAACCATCCTACAGCAGTACAGCAGGCTTCCAGGGCTCAAGAACCAGAAGCGGCTGTGGCCTGCAAGCCGGCATTGGACAGGTCCCGTGTCATGGATGAGCTACGTGGCGTGAAGCAGATCCTCGCAGGGAGGTGCATGGCCGTGGAAGTTACGAAATTAGATCTGAGGCTTTTGTGGTGCTGCATGTAGCGACTCAGACGAGCCCCAATTGAGACTACCTTATCAAACCCTCATCTCCAGGTATTCCTTCGGGGCCCTCCTCCCGGATGGCCGCCGCATCGTGTGGCCAAGTCCCAGCCTTGCAGCAGATCGAGCCTGGGCCGATACAGCCCGGGTTTTTGGCTTCGGATGCTTTAGGGAGGGTTTGGGGAGGGTAAGGAGTTTAGGGGTTAGGAGCCACAGTGGGTCAAGGGTTAGGGTTTGGGGTTTAGGATAGTAGCTTGTGCCGGGAAGATGCATTTTGGGATGTGGCACATGAGGCCAAGGGCTTCTGTCAAGATGATCTCGGTTTCAGCATCACCATGCGAGGAGCTGAGCTGGAGATCCAGTCCATCAAGCGATCTCCTGGTGATTCTTTTTGAAGACCGGCCCGGATAGATTCCGCTGGCCATGAGTGCGTCCTTTGGGGCAGACGTTTCGCGGCCGGTTTGAGATGCTTGGCGCCGGGCTCTAGGATCATGCGGCGGCGCCTTCTTTTTGTTTGCATCCCCGGGCCTCGCTTTGCGAATTCGACATTCACCTCGCTTCTAACAAGCGGGAAGAGGACATATGAGAGGAGGAGCAGAGAAGCACTTCTCTGCAGCTTCTTCATGTTCGGCACCAGTGCCAGAGACAAGAATTCAAAGCAAGTCGGCGTGGGAGGAAAAGGGCTTGCAAGACAGGTCTCTGGATTCGTGAGGCCCAGGTTCTGAGGCAGCGCACGTTCTGGGAATTGTAAAAGGGAACCTCCACAACAGTACCGAGTTTGGATCGGGGCTTAGCTTGAGCCGTCTTGACTTTAGACAAAGGTGTAACTACCAGTAGAAAGCCAGCAAAGGTTTGAGAGCCTTTTGCCAGCGTAAGACCCGAGTCTGTCGCAGGACTTGCACGACACGCTGCAGGCCGTTCGGTCCGCCAGCACCGGGACGGCAAGGATGTCTGTTTCGGAGCTCGAGGATCCATTCAAGGGGATTTCGGAGCTGTTTTTGCGATCCTTGAACCCCACAACCCCACCTAGGAAAGCCGAAGCGGAACTGCATCATCCTCAAACTAAATGGACCCACCATTCCGTCGTTTTGAGACATTTACTTATTTTTTTTTTATCTCTCTCTCTCTCTCACATTCTTTCTGTCTCTCTCTTGAAAAATGGGAAGCCAGCGTAATTCGTGGAGGGTTCTATGGGGTTCTCAAAGGGAAAAACGGTTCGAGGAGCTTTTTTATATGCCAGCTTCTCCGGATGCTTATCAGAAGGATCCCGCCCTTCTCGGATGCATATGTGGCGTCCGTGATCCCAGATAGAGTAGGGGAGAACACTGAAGACTGGAGGTATCCTGGACACGGCATCAGCTGTCAGAAGTAGCGATCTCTAAGAGGGAGCTACGCTCCGAAACCGTGAGCCTTTAACACGATAAGCCCTGAGCCCTGTCTACACAAGCAGCCACTGCATCCCCATTGAGAAGCAAAGCGAGGTGTCCAGATGCGCGGCTTCCTCAAGGCGCCCTACCAGCAACCTACGTGCTAACAGGGGAAGACAGAAAGACTGAGAGGTTTTGTCATGTTGGCCTCGGATGTCTTCTGGATCTTGGATTTGGGATTGGCTTACAAGCGTTTCGGGCTAAGAATAGCGCATACGTAAGAGAGTAGCAGTAGGCAGAGGCAATCGTGAAGAGATGCAGGGCCCCATTTCCGGTACGACCGAGTCGGGGAAGTCCACTGCGAACATGGTGCCGGAGGCGTGGCATGGCATGAATGCCTGATGTTTCCTGCAACCAACCCTTGCCCGGAGGTGACGCAAGGGTTGCAGCGTCTGCGGACATTGCTGTCGTCGGAGTTGCAGGAAGAGGAGGAGGAGCCCGGGGGTGTTTCTTGAAGATTTGTTTTAAAAGCAGCGGCGGCTTTTCTTGCAGATTTCGGGGTTCAGCGGAGCTTCAGCCTCAAGAGCAATGAGCCAAAAGCAGCGAAGGGGCTCGGGCTCCGAATTGGGTGCCGCTGCAGGCGCCGGACTACGTCGGGCCGATGGAGGTGCCACTTTTGCTTCGGTTTTGGGGATTTCAGCTTTCGGGATTCGAAGCGGAGCTGGGAGCCTTGCGGGCCAGGCGGCCGTGAAAGTCCTACACTATTACGGGCGTGTTCGATAGGCTTGGAGCAGTAAGATGATTGGGAGTTTTGAGGGCCCAGGCGATGCTTTAGCGGATCCCTTCCTGAGCTCCCCCCGTGAATCCGAATTCGAAGCGGCCTCTTCATGAACGAACGGTGCAAGCTGGTGCAAGCTAGAATTTTCAGAACTTAACCGCGACGGCCCAGCAGGGGTCGGACGAGTTGCACGAGGCGCGGTGTCCCGGGTTCTTCAGCCCAAGAGCAACGGTCGCCTCAATGCAAACAGCGCCACGGAAGCGCGAGCGAGGGAGACACACACACGAACACTAACACAGACGTGCACAGACAGGCGGGCTTCATTTCGAGCATTTCGCGAAACCGGGAAGCCACTCCTTCGTTGGTATGGGAGGTAGTGGTTTCCGAAGCTATGGCGTTAAGGCACTGTTCGGAGCGACAGCTATAGCACGCGCTTAATGGGCTTCGAGCTGTGAGATAACCAGCAGGATACTACAGCAACAGCAATGCGTCATGCCTCTGCTGCCAACATGATTGTCTCTCCAGCGTTGCTGTTGGACTTCTCACTCCCATCCTGAGCAAGGTTGGCTGTCATGGCGGTTGGTACGTCAGTGACATGGTGTGTGATCCATGAGCCTGCGCCACAGGCTGTTGCAGACCAGCTTCATGGCAGAGGCCAGCCGGGGTCCTCTGCTCTTGGGTTCTGATCGGACCAGGTCAGGGTCGATGTTCGGTTTCTATTTGCAGGGCTTTGGCCGTGAAGAGGAAGTGGACATGAACGCGTTTCTGTTGATAGACCTTTGGCCTGAAGCAGCACTTGTGTCAGCTTCCGTCTTGAATACCCAAGACCTCCATGCCAGCTTGCGGGAAGGTGGAGATGACTTCCGCCTGGAGGACACAGGGCAGAGTTGGGTACCTCCGACACCTCCATGAGTCAGTTTCTTGATGAATCGCCACCAAGTCGGACCAGATACACGGTACCTCTCCCTGGTGGCCCTTCTCGGCCTTCCCCGATGCACTGCAAAGTACTTCTGCGAGAACGATCTTCGCAGAAGCCAGCTTGCAGGAGATGTTCGTTCAGCCGGATGGCCGGACTGATTCTGCGCAGGCGGGGATGTGTTCGAGCTTCGTGACTAATGGTTCAGTAGCAAAAGGCATTGGCGCGAGGCAGTTTACTAACACCTATTCAAAATGCAAGAGTTGCTGTATCCCGTACACAGTCATGACCCCATCCAACTTCAAGCAACCCTCCCAGATGGCAACGTGTTCCGATGGGGCCTGCGGAGGTTCCTTCAGTAGGGTGGAAGGGCCACATGTCTTATCTGAACCAGATGCGGCTTTGGAGCATGCCCACGATCGAATGACAACGTGCTCTCCCCTCTGAGGTTCAGCACCAAAACTTGAATGAATGAGGTCTCGCGCGGCAATTTGCAATACTTGATGCCAGCTTGACACTGAAATTTGATCCCTCATGTGGCTGGTTAGACACGTCGTCGTCTCGCGGAATATCTCGAGTCTTGAGGTGTGTAAAGGGCCGTTCCTGGAGCAGCCCCTCCACTACCGTAAATTCCTGCGGTTCCTTGACCCCTGAGACACCGAAAATGCCAAGCACCCAATGAGCCCTGCATTCTGTCAGCTTTGCTGCGAAAGGCACTCACCGCTGCACGACCTAGACCAGTGCTTCAGCTGGAGTTTTACGGTTTAAGGTTTAGGCCTTTTAGGGTTACTTGCACCGAGGCGCACGAGCGCCTTACCGGTTTAGAAAAGCTGATTTTTAGGGCGCAGATAAAGGTTACGCGTGCCCGACGCGTGGCTAAGGGCCTTGTAGTTAGGTTATAAGTGGTACGAGTAATAGTACTACAGGGGTTAAGGTATGTTGGGTTTAGGTTGTTCGGATTCTACCGTTTAGGCTTTAGGGTTTTTAGGGTTTAGGGTTTGCGGTTTTACGGGGTGTAGGGTGTAGGGAGTAGGGCTTGGAGTTAGTAGTTATATCCAAGTATCATAGGGTTTAGGGTTTGTTTGGGTTTAGGGTTGGGGGTTTACGTTTTGCGGTTTAGGGCTTAGGCTGTTGGGCTTTTACTGTGTGTTTTTTTTGGGTTAGGGTTCGTTTACTGTTTAGGGTTTAGGGGTGCGCCCAGCGTGCGCTCCCGGCTTAGGGTTTAGGGTTTTAGGGTTAGGGTTTCGGGTTCATTGTAGTGAGTAGGTATACGTAGTTTTAGTATTATAGGGTTTAGGTTTTTGAAGAAATCCGGATTACTTCGTTCCTTGTGCAGCCCGTGTGCAGATCCTCAAACTTCAAGCGAGCGTTGAGATCTTGAGTCAGACATAGCCATCCCTACGTTGTACACATGGTCCATGGTGGGTTGAAGGCATTGTCAGTACTGTTGTAAAGGCCATCATGAAATTGCATGATCGGCAGAAGCCAGCAAAGTAGTTGCACTTTTGCGCTCTGAGGAAAACCGACCTTTGACCTGAATTCGATGTCATAGCCCGTTCTGCTTAAGTAGTGCTCCCCTTCGTGAGGACGATGAACCAACCCGGAGCCTAATTTCAACCTCAGGATCTTAACGATCCACAGGTTATGAGCGCCCAATCTACGCGGTGAGTTCATGTTAGTATCAGTGTTTGTACTGGTAATGCAGGGTTTAGAGTTTTCACGGTTAAAGGTTTTGTTTTTTATTGTTCGGGGTTTAGGGTTTACAGTGTTGGGGTTTTGTGGCTTAGGGTCTACGGTTGCGCACGCCCGTGAATTGACATTAGTATTTTGGGGTTTAAGGTCTTCAGGGGGTAGGGTGTAGGGTTTGGTAGGGTTACTGGGTTGGTCATGGGGTGGTTGGGTGGCTGGGTGGGCTCAGTGTGCGCGCCCGGCGCATGGGGTCTACGGTTTTTAAGTTTCGAGTTTCGGAATTTGTAATTGGTACTACAGGGTTTAAGGTTTCAGGGTTTGGGAGTTTATTGTTTCGGGTTTGAGGGTTACGCGGGGTAGGGTCTAGGTTTTGTCGTCAGTAGTTATACTTAGGATTAGAATCAGTGTACCATTGGCACACGGGGTTTAGGGTTCCGCATTTTACTGTTTAGGGTTTCGGCTGTGGGCTGTTTGGGTTTTACGGCTTAGGCTTTGGGGGTTACGAGCGCCCGGGCGAATTTGTATTGGCATTATAGGGTTTTTAGGGTTTAGGGCTTAGGCTTCAGGCTGTTGGGTTGTACGGTTTAGGATTTGGGGTTACATTCGCCATGGGTGGGTGGGTCATTGGGTGGCTGGGTGGGCAGTTCTGGTTGGTGGGGTGGGGCGCGGGGGTAGCTTTGGGAATGAGCATTGGAAATCGTGGGGGTCTTGATGTTTGTTCGGTGCATAGGATGCGCGCAAGTGGTGCAATTGGTGCAAGTGGTGCAGACGGTGCAAGTGGTGCACGTGGTGCAAGTGGTGCAAGATTGCAAGATTGTCGGAACCCCGCCCCGCATTAGCGGCATCATTGGCGATACTCGACTAAGTTTACCAAGTCTGCGCGCCCAAACTTGCACCCCACTCCCCTGCCCGCGGCGACACGACCAAGCTTGCGTGTCATCTTGCGCCCCACGCCCCCCCTCCCCATTTTGAGCGCAACCAAGCTGGACAAGATTGGCGCACAATCTCGCTGAGTGATCGGCTCTCGTTTGCCAGCACACTGTGCCCACTGTGCTACTAATGCTGCTACTGCTGCTACCACTGCTGACTACTGCTGACTACTACTACTACTACTACTACTGCTACTACTATCCTACTCCTACTCCTACACCTACTCCTACTCCGACTCCAACTCCTACTCGCACTACTACTACTACTACTACCACCACTACTACTACTACTACCACCACGACGACTGCTGTCCTTCTCCTGTTCTTGTTCCTCCTACACCGCAATTGCTTCTGCTCGTGCTCCTGCTGCTCTTGCTTCTGCTAATCCTGCTCCTGCTCCTGCTCCGCTCCTGCTGCTGCTGCTGCTGCTACTATTTCCGGCCTTCGTAGCCACATCATGAAGACAACTACAACACCGTCGAAGGCGTCTCGTTTGTGGCCTTTCCTGTTGCTGAGGGATCCGCAACATCGGCAGAGACGCTCGCAACAAGCGATGTCGCGCTCTTAGCTACTCCTGGTTTTGCAGGCTATGCCAGAAGGCTAAAGTACTCCGCCTCCAGACTGAACATCTCTCACGTCATGGAGAGCTTGATGCAGGGTTGAAGTTTCAGGAAAGGAGATTCGGCCGGCTTTCCCATTGGATAGGTTTGCTAAGTTGAGCTACGGCTAGTCGAATTGGACAAACTTAACATGGTTGACATGTGCGGCCACCCCGCTGCCAAGTTGAGAAGCCAACATGCAACATGGTGTGAAGACAGGTTTGATTGTGCCAAGATGCACTTCGGGAAAAGCCCGAAGATCCTAAGTGCGCTCGAGGTGCTTCTGTGAGTTGTACAAGGTGTTGCTGAAGCCCCGAAATTTTGAATTGAGCACCATCCTCAAGAGGCGTGAACCCTGCGTTCTGATCCCATAACATTGACTTGTCGAACGCGAGCGTCTTTCTCACGGCTCAGGAGCCTGCCACCGTCGGAGAAGGAGAAGCTCCCACACGTAACGCAGCGCCTGGGCGGCAGTTGAGGAGTTCTTGGACAGAGAAGGCTCGGAGGTCGTCAGGGTTTCATAATGTGGGCAGGGGGTTTGGAAGATGATCGGGTGTCTCCTTCCCATCCGACTCTCGTCAGACTTTTTCGGTTTTAGTTGGGATCTTCCTGCCGGTTTCGCCGCCAACCGTTACAAGCTTACGGTTAAACCCTGCGCACACGAAGCACGTTTCCTCAGCATGCAGTAAATCACTAGGCAGTTTAAGGGCTGATGTATGCCACAAGAGGTTTAAGATCCTTCTTGTGCGGACCCTTTGTAGAGGTACCATCAGGTTTAAGGGCCCCCTGTTGCCCAGGGCACAATGACGCCTCCACGCTTTGCGGTGCGAGGTCTCCTGGAATCCGAGGTTCGCTCTGGCCAACTTGTTTTTTTTGGAAGTTCTAGGCTGATTCAGGAATGAGTAGGGAGCAAATTTGGTGCTCCTTCCTGATCCATGCGTCAGGTGGTGGGGAGGGTGGATCAAGCCAAGTTTGCAACAACTTCATGCTGACATGCCCTTGGGTCGCATAGAAAGTTATGCATCCTGGTAGTCGTGCATCCTGCTGGTGCTGAGTCTCTTGTCCAGGCAGTCTTTCGAACTGTGGCACTTCTCGACTTAGTTTGAAGTTATGCAATCAGCGCATGGCATCCCAAGCGATTGCTTCCGGCCGGGTGTGAACTTCACATGGGAGCTCTGCTGCCTGGGATGGCATGGTGTCGGTGATGCAAGCTGCTGGGATTCCAACGGCTACAACTACGAGCGCCCCCTGTCCGACGTTGTAAAAGACAAGCAGCATTTGCGCTGGATGGTGCGTGGCCGTTGTTGTGGACTGTTAGCTAGTGATTCAAGTGACGAACTCCATAGCCGACACCGCTCCACAAGACACCGGAGCAATGTCAGAATCCGATCTGACGGTTGGATGACGCTAGCATGATAAACGGATCTACAGCCTTGACGTTCTAGGTGTGGCATTCACAAACGAGACCGAAACACTCCCCCATGCCGGGATCCCAAGTCGCGGCGTCTTCACTTTCCATGACCAACTGTCCTTCTTAGGTACACACACCGTAAGGCCTGGGCTGGGGCCTTCAAGGGGGGCAACAAAAACAAAACGAGAGAACTAAACAGACATTAGCCCTCGCCCCAGATATGCTCTGAGAGAAGGCTGTTGCTTGGGCGCCAGCTTCCGGGATGCTTGCGGCTGCGAGCCTGGCTTGTCCTGGGATGCCAACCTCCGTCGTTGTGCGAACAGCAAGGCGCCGGAAGTAACGGATTTTAGAGCCTTTCTGGCAACCCTTCCTGCCCCCATACAACTGTGCGAAGCTGACAAGGTGATCGAACCAACGGCACCAACTCTTTTGACGAGGTCGACAGGGGCAGAGACATGAAGTCAAGCGCTGCTGGGTGATATCCCTACCGTGAGTTGCAGGTTTTCTCGTGCTCCACGCCTGAACCCTGATCCTTGGACCATGAACCCTACTCCTTGAGTCCCCAACCCTACACCCTAAACCTTAGCCTCTCAACCCTAAACCCTGAGGTGTCGGAAGCTTCATGCGATTGTGGCTGCAGCTGTGCGAAAGCCAGTGGCCTTCTCTTCAGAGCCTGCTTGGCCAGCGTTGCCTTGCTGCTCTGTGGTCTATGCTTTGAGTGTGTGTTCGTAGTAAGTTGCTTCGTGCCAACCTTTGTTCCGTGCAGCTGCTGTGCCGTGCTCCTCATAACCGTTGGCAGGTGTGCCTAGACTTGTGAAGACCAGGATGATCGTGGGGTTCTTCATGCGACCTCTCCTGACTCAATCAAGCTGGACTGTTGACTGCATCATATAATACAAGCCTCGGCCCCTTTGAAGAACTCGGTCGGATTGTTTGGTTTCATGCCAAGCTGGTTTTTACAGAGCATCGATATTAACACAAGTGCTGACTTGTTCGTGGTTCCGCTGAGTCTAGTATCATTCAGCATCCTATTAGTACCAGCAGATCTTCTGGATACAAAGCCTTGAGCGCGCGTTTTTCTCAACAAAACCTCAGATGTCATGGAAGTGTCAGTGTACGAGGAACGAACACCACGAAGAAGAGGGTCAATCTGTGCAACAGCCTTGCAGGTTTCCACCGTCTCTGGCTTCAAACATCAGAGGCAAAGAGCAGTTCTCGTCTTATGACATTCAATGGTCACCTGAACACCCTTGGGCTTTCACCTACCGTGCTGCCTGCGCTCGCTCTGCAGAGTCACCTGCTGCCTTCTCGCGGTTCCGACGCAGCGACATGGTGCTGAACCAAGCATGGGAGCATACCTCGAAGTCTTCCGGAGACCTGTATCTTGCCCGTTTGTATAGGCAAAGTTTCCCTATCTACCGACACCTCCCGAGATGGAGAGTTGCCGAGCCTGGGATCCTAGAGTGTACTTCTCTTGCTGCTTTCTTTCTGGGAAGCTAGGACTCCCTCTTCCTTCTCTTACATGTAGCCGTCTGCGGCATCAGGATCTCCTTGGCAATGCAGTGATGGAAGACTTCCAGCGTCATATCGGCTTCATGAGCCCAAGTACCATGAGGCGCGGTTTCCTCAAAAAGCTGGGCTCTTGTCGCGGAGCGGGGTTTAATTGAGGTATCACAACGGGGGTACATAATCAGTGGCAGTAGACGCTGCGCTGCAGTCGCTGTGGTAACTGAAAGGGCTTCCCTGGCAAGAGCTCAGACAAGATGCCCGGAGGCCCCGCTTCGGCTTTGACCACCCTTCCTGTTGCCCTGGACTGGGCCTTACTGGGAGTTTCGGGGATTTCGTGAGAAGGCAATACCGTCAGTACGGATCAGTTATTGCGGCTATAGGTAGGATAATGCCAAGAACCCCTAAGATATCCTATGCACTACGTCCCGTGATTCCTCCACGGAGAAATCCCTGACGAGATATGTTGGCATCCTCGGGGACATTCTTTCGCACCTGGTGACCTCGCCCGCCTGGAATGTCTCCGCGGGTCTCATGGGATGGAGAATTGCAGAGTGACTGGGATACCGATTACACGCAGTTTTCTGTTGAGGGTGCTGGTATCCTAAACTTTAGACGTGCTTGCCCAGTTGCTTGTTGTGTGGTCTACCTCATGTACCAGGATTGGAGGGGGCTATGGCGGTCAAGCCTTGGCAATGCATCTGCTGTCAGCGCAGCTGGAGTCATACACCATCTTCGATCTCCCGGAAGCTGGTATGCTGCAGTACCGCTTCCTGTCACATTTCCCTGAGTTTCTCCATAAGACACGCTTCGCGAATTCAACAGGTTCCCATGAAGGACACCGCTACGATCTGTGCATTTCTTGTTTCGCCTTGTCAGAGCTCAGCGAAGCACAGCAGCGACCTTACGCTGAAGATGTCTTGAGATACTGCCGCTTCGGATACATCCTCGACAATTCCGTCGATTTCCGAAAGACCACTGCGTACAGCGGCGATGGCCTGGTTTCCTGGTTGTCAGAGCTGGGGCGTCCAGTTCGACGTGAAGTCAGCATGGAGGGTCAAGGTATCCATGCGATTATGTGGTGAAGGGAGAAAAAGCTCGGCAGAGGTAGCACAGAAATTTGGAGTCTTCGTTGTGTTAATGACTCCGATGGCAGTCGTTATCATTGCTCTGTTTTCTATGGGCTTCGACTTAGTGCATCGTGTGTCCTCTGTGTGTGTGTGTGCGTGTGTGTATGTCTTCGGTTGGCGCAAAAAAGGTATCAAGGCCAGGCTATTGATTTCGTTTGATTTGTGTGTGGGCTCGTTCTGGAAATATTAAGCCGACATTCCTTGCATAAGTTGGTTCAATTTGGTAATGGTCTATTCGTACCTTTGCACTTGTCATGCCTATCCAATCGCCGTTTGCATGATCAAGCCATTTCGTGTATCTGTTTTGTATATATATAGAGAGAGAAATAAATACGTAAAGATATGCACACACACAGATGCTCACACATAAACTTGCATGGACGTAGATGCATGGGAGGTCTCGTTGAGTCCCCGCCAGACTCTGCCCGGGGGCCTCGCTTTACCATAAAAACGGAACCCCACGGTCAAATCATGCACCCTAAGCCCTGAACCCACACTGGGGCATGGCTTGGCAGGACGTGGTGTGGACGTCCGTGCCTCTTGGGAAGGCATCGGCAGTGGGCTGTGTGCAGAAGTGCGCTCTCCTGTGTCGCTCTGTTGAGTGTCAATCGGGTGGTTGAGTAGGTGTATAGAATTGTTGTTTAATCCCGGAGGGTCCAATGTAGGGCCCAGTCACTCAAGACGTCAGTATCTGTCAGACTGTGTGTATACGTGCTCACATGTATTTATACATAGGTGTGTGTAGCTATAAATCTATATGTACATCATCTATGTAGCATACTACACAGTAACTGCTTCAATACTACATACTATCCGCCTGCGTGCAGGCAAAGAACTTCCAATGGAGCCTGGTGGAGCCCTCAGTGCGAGCGAATCGAAGATCGAAATCGCCAGGACAAGAACCCGCTGCTATACTCTACGGCTATTCATATGGACAGTAGATAGCAGCATCCCGGTGAAAGGGGGACTGTGGCGTACTGTAAAGGTAGGCTCTCGAAGTTCGTGACGCCTCGAAACTCAGCAAATTCCCAGGGCCGTCGCCTCAAAGGCGAAAAGCGTGTTGCCAGCCGCGGAACCAGGACCCCTTTCTCCAAATGAATCTTCAAATCCAAGTCGACAGAACCCCACTCATACAGGATTGGCTTGAGTACATTGATACCATTTAGAGACATGGGCCTGTCCTTGCCGGGCAGATGCCTTGTCTGCCGCGAAGCGACCGCAACGACCGGCTGGATTTCCAGGAGGCAAAATGCCTGTCTCCGGCCTCCGGTGTCTTTTCATTGAAATTTGGGGTTGGGTTGGGTTCTTGTTGAAGCGAGCACCGATTTGCCAGAGACCAGATGCCAATTTCAGAGAAGCTTATGGAGGCAGAGGAGAGGCATCGAATCCGTGCTGGTTTCGACCGAATACTGGAAATCTTGGATCGAGCAGTGCCTTGGACAACAGCATGTGAAGAGCAGGAAGTCAGAGTGTTGGGCCTGGGATTTGGATCAGCGATTTGGGCATGATTGTCCCTTTCCCGCTGGCTCGGGGTTGCTTCTCGTGGGGTCTCTCAGCTGTCAGCGAGGGCAGAAATCGTCCGGGGTGGACTTGAGTTTTTGGATCCCCCCACCCTATAAAACCCTGAAGCTCAAAACCCTGGCCGCATATTTTGTTGCGGGGGAGCCCAAGATCTTCATGCGACCTGTGCCAGTACCAGCCAGCGCCTGACGGTGCTGATAGGGCTTCAACTGTAGCCACTATTGTCGACACAATGCTCTGCGTTTGTCCCCAGTGAAGACTTTGCCATGACTTCCATAGCCGCGGTCAGGACTATACTGATAGTTCACACATGATGGAGTGTGGACCGTCTCATGTGGTCCATGCGCAGCAGAAGCTGACACGTGCTTGAGCTCAAGCTGAGGAGCACAGCACAGCGAGGCGGAGAGCCCGCACTTTGCCGCCCCAGGCGAGGGCTTGTAAAGGCTGAGGGTGTTGGGTCTTCTGCAAGGTTTGATACGGTTTAAGGCATTATAGGTTTTTAGGGTTTAGGTCCTTAAGATGTCGGATCTTAGGACTTCGGGTTTTGCGGCGGAGGGTTTTGGGAAGTGCTCAGACGATTTAGCACCTCAGAAGCACTGCCAAGATAAGTAGGTGTGGCATTAGCAGTTCTCGGGAGTAACCACTGTTTCGGTGCTTCCGTTGCTTGTTGTTTGAGGCTCACTCGTGCTGCCTTGTTAGAATCAGTGCAGCTCGGGCATCACATCCGAGTCTTCAACTGAACCCAACTCGCGGTGACTCTGAGCGGTCTCGTCGAACCAGGTAGTACGCTGCTTAGAGTCTTGAAGCCGTCTGTCTTCGAGGGTCCTTCGGAGCCGTGGAGCCCATGAATTAAATCTCAAGTGTTGCTGATGACATCGAATGTCCAGTCGCAGGTCCTGGCTGGAACTGCGCCAGGCGCTGCCTGGGCTTTGCGTGGAGGTTTGAAGCTCTACAGGGGTTCAATTTCGCATTCGAGGCCATTTCTTTTGCATTGCAGCATGCATGAACTGGAGCAGTTGCAAGCTATGAATGTCTGAGGTAGTACTTCCATTTACATTGTCTGTGCGTCCGTCCCCAGCCCAAGCGCTCGCAGCCGGCGGGCAGACGACCACAACAGGCAGTTCCTCTGTCGGTAGGGGCCTACTTGACCGGACTATGGTGGGCTTAGAGGGTTTGGTTACAAGCAGTGCTAGAACCAAGATAACCCCAACTAGGATTATAGATGCTACCCATAATCCGAAAAGTGGTAGAATTAGTAGAATCCCATCACCCCCAACTTTCTCAGTGCCCTGAGCCTCCCAAGTGGAGCCTCCGGCGCTCTTTTTCAGGGATCCCCTGGCCCTCGATCTCCCCTTCGGCCTGGACGCGCCTCGGCCTCTCGGCCGCAGAGCCTCGGAGAATTTTCCGCCGGGTGGGCGCCTCCGTGCCTCTCTTCGTAGAGCTGAGGGGAGAGGAAGAAGTTGTTGTGGTTAGTAGCGGTAGCAGTCGTGGTAGTTGTAGTAGTAGTAGTAGTAGTAGTAGTAGTAGTAGTAGTAGTAGTAGTAGTCGTAGTCGTAGTCGTAGTCGTAGTCGTAGTCGTAGTCGTAGTGGTAGTCGTAGTGGTAGTGGTAGTGGTGGTGGTAATGGTAGCCTCAAGCCGCGTGCCCATCAGTCGTCGAAAGCTCGGAAACAGGTGAGCTCACTGAGCCACCAGTGGAAAGAAGAGTGCTCCGGCTGAACCCCGGACCCCAGACGTCCTGACTTCCACGTCCCCAAAAAAAGAGCGCCTAAAAAGATATGTAGGTGGAATTCTCTCCGAGGTGGCGGCCTGGAGCTGGGCCGCTTGCGCTCCGAGCCCCTCGCGACGGCGCTGCACGCGAGCCTGCGCGGCCCGCACGACAGCGAGGAGAGAAAGGGCTTTCTAGTTTTTTGGGGCGGAAGTGGCGGGGCCTGCAGGGCATGCCAAGTTTCTATCATGGCCGGTATTGTGTTGTCTTTCTTTTTTTCGGCCATGATTGAGTGTAACTGTTTTGTATAGTGTGACGAAAGGGTTGCTCTGAAGCTCTGAATTAAGTTGCCGACTTTGCCGAAGGTGGTACCCCGGAGTCGCAAGGGGCATTGCAAAATGCCGCAAGCAACTGTCCGAACACCTCAGCCCGACACCCGTCTTGGACGCGGACAAACACATAACGCTCGAATCCCGCATCGATGAGACGAGGGTCGGCTTAGATCACCCAGCTTAGCCTAATACGAGTTGAGAAAGACGGCGGTGATGGAAGATCTAAGATTTCAATCCGATGTTCTTCATCCTGCCGCGCTCTCGGGAGGTGTGAAAATTGAAGCCTGCTCCCTCAGATATAGGTGTAATAAATCAGCACTTGGCCCTAAATCCTACGTCCAGGACCATCTTTGCTTGGAGGATTCCGAAAACGACGCGGCGGCCGCGGCCATTCAGGCAAGCGGAGGTTTGGATTAGATGGAATGAAAGCTCCATTTGATATGTGGAGCCCTCGATTTTCTGAAAGTCCCATAGCCTTTTCAGGTGCTTTACCTGGAACTTTACCAACGTTAGCACAGGGTATGCATCCAAGGTCCCGCCTCAATCCGCGAAAGGAGTCCACAAGCGCGACGGCAAACGGACAATGTGAGCAGTTTCGATCAGGAGCCCACTGACGCTGACGAGACACCGCCGCCGCTACTGGCACCTCCTGTGGATGCGAGCTGCGAGCAGGACCGTAATGATGTGTACAGGTATAAATCGTAAGATTCGCATAAACTTATATCAGCAATACAGTAGTTCGATCGTATCTGCATCATTGTAGGTGCCTACATCTGTAATGAGCTACTCACTGGGTACTTCCTTAGGGTTGCGGGCGGCTGCTTCGGAGTCCGGAGCAGGTCCAAGGGCTCTTCCAGTCTTGGTGCAGTGCTTGGTTCCGTAGGGGGTGATAGAACGAAGAGGTCTTAGAGCAAAGCCCTAAAGCTCTGAACCCTGGATCCACGTAAACTCTAGATTGCAAAACCCTAAACCAAAAGCCATCAGTAGGTCTCGACAGCCAGCACGGCGGCGGCCTTGGCAGCGGTTGGCAAGTCTCTGGCCATTGTGCCCGCCACGGCCCTGGCACAGACGCTGCTTGTTTTCGGGTTGGGGGGACCTCGCGGCCTTTCGAACTCATATGGCCTGTAGGACCACGTCCGAGCCCCCGAAACCAGAAGAGTTTCCGTCATCGAACACTCTGTCGGCAAAACAGAGCTCAAGGAGAACATGTCTTTTGATGCAGGCCAAGATGGTGAAGAAAAAGGCACCCTCCAGGAGATGTGAGAGTGACGCGCCGCACCCCAAGGCCGCACCGGACAGCGAAAGGCCTGCGCGACTGGCGCAGAGAGCTCGCTGCTCGAGCTGCAACGTAAGGCTTGTTTCGGTTGGATGACTGCAATCTAAGACTCATTTTTTCGACTGCAGGTGTTTTTTTTGCGGATGTAGCTGAATATTTGCGGCCGGCAATGGAGCCGCCTGGCAGTTGTCCCAGCCGAAGTTTCACTTCCAAGAGCTCGACAACAACCTGTAAAGCATCTTAAAACCCAAGTCCGAAAGAAGGAACGTGCTAACAACTATAATCAGGTTCTCGCGAGCGCCCGCTGCCTCTGCATGTGGCCGAACCCCAAGAGGCGCTCGTGGAGGCTCAGCGGCGAGCCGAAGAACAAGGAGGTTTCAGTGTCCTCCGTCCTTGAAAAAAGGACCCCGAAAATTACGCACCCCTGAACTTTTTCGTGGTTTAGATCGCCCCCAAGCCTCTTTGCATCTAGACCTCTCCCATCATCTCCAAGCTGCAGCGGCGTGTGTTGGGAGCTTCGGCCACACTCCATGCGGCTCATGCACATTGTCCCGGACCGATGGCAAACAGACAGCCTTGTTCCTCTGCAATGCCTGTCAGGAACCGGAGCCGCAGCCAGAGTCGCCGATCGAGGAGCTGCTTTCTAAATTGTGCGCTCGTAATCCTGCAGCAGTGATTTCAATGAAGGTGTTTGTTACAACCGTACACAGTGTGGAATGTTAATGAGGTCGAGCAGGAGCAGCATCCCCAACAGTGACAGCTCAGGAAAGCAAACCAAACGTTAGCATGATTAACAACCACCTTTTGAGTTTTCGCTGTGGGAGGGGAGGGCCGTTGAACATTAGAAGAGGGAGTACATCTGACGTAACGAGCCTCCTCGGAACCCCAAAAGCATGTTACAGATGCGTCTAGTTGCCTCAGCTCTGATGGACTCTCGCATGGCGACTCGCAGCTGTAGCCCCAACTGCTGGTTGTTTGTTTTCGGATGACTTCGCTGCTCTGCACTCCTTGGCTGGTGTTCCACGGCGGATATGACCCCCCGCTCTTCTTTAAGTTGCCGCTCCGTTGAGGCTGTGAGGGAAGGGTTTAGCCAAGAGGAGCGCTTGGTCACTGCCGTGGCGACAGAGCCTTCCGAATCCCGGGGCGCAGCTCGAACCGCAAAGTTCAGGCTTGGAGCGAAAAACAGAGAGAATTAGAGCCAGGGCTCGGGTTCGGGGCGACTTTCCTTCGCTTCAGTTTAGAGAGTTGCATCGCCCAAGCAGGTTGAAGGCGGTTTGGTTTGTTCTTTGAACTGATCACAATCACGCCGTTCTGGGGTCACGGGTGGGCAAGCGTTTGCAGCACCCGACACCTAGCAGAGCTTTCGGATGCCCACGCTGCTGGGGACATCAGGTTCGTAAAGCGCATTTCCAGCGCCGACTTTCCCAGCCGGAAGAGAGTCAACAGGCTCGGGTTGCTGGTGTTCTCCTTGAAATGCCACGGACATGTGCCAATGCAGCCCATCCCTTGAATCTCCGAAGGTGAGTTCTCAGAACGTTCGTGCCACTCAAGCCTAGACCGACTCCACGTTGAGAAGCGCAGTGCGTGGGAGTATTGGGCAAGCGCAGGGTGCAGTGTCTGCAGGATCCTGAAAGCTGCGAAGTCGTGGAGCGACTGGGACGGCATGTTGTGTGCATCCAGCCTCATACCTGGAGCATCTTTTCCTGTGTGAGTTGCCAGAGGATGTTGGATGATGCTCGGACAGGCACTGGAAGGTTTGGAAATTCTGAGCCTCGTACTGGTAGGGGTAGAGAGAGCAGCGGGGGGAACTTCGCTGAGGCGGCCTGGAGGCCAAGCTTGCTGGCAGCTTCGGATCCCTGAGCCCCAAAGCTCCAAAGCAACGCCACGTCAGGGTAGCTGCTAGGTAGCTCGGTACTCAAAAGGCGATGGCTGGAGATGCTGCGTCGCCCGCTGCCGATGGTCCAGAAGCTTGAGGTGCCAAGACCCAGCAGTCCCGGAGAGCCCTCGGTTGTACTTTCGCGTGTTCATGTAGGCAGCAGATACGACACCGGCCTAGATCCACACCATGGCTGTCACAACCGGTATAAGCGGCAGAATCATTGCCCCATGCGAACAGCGAAAGACAACTTGAGACAGCTTTCCTCTGAAGGGCCCCGCCTGCGACTGCGAAACAAAAACATTCTTCTGAACCTAAACCCCCACCGCCCATCCTTACTCCCAAACCAGGACATCGACCAACACAGAAGAAATTAGCAACAGTTCCGCCTGCCCAACCCACAGCCTGCCTCATCAACAACCCCCGCCCCAAACTACGGCTCCCGAGCCCTCAAAGCCAAGGGAGACACAATACGAAGGCTTAAAAGTTGCCTAACCAAGAATACTGGAAACCCCCCTCAAAAACTGAAATCGGAATATCCATTGCAGGCCTCGCTTGCTGAAGATACTGCTCGTTCGCCCGAGCGGCGCCGCTCGACGCTGTCACTCCCTTCGAGCCGGTCCCTGACCCTGTCACTGGGAAGGCACAAGATCCCAAAGACCCCCAAGAACATGAACAAACACCATTCGCAGTTAAAGTAGTTAAGTAAAAGTGCTTCTATCGGCAAGAAGTGAGCAACAGTCAACTGTGATATCGGTGCGGGACATCCTAGAAACAACTACTGAGTAACTACTGGCAGTACTGGTAGTATTTGCTGATTGCTGTTCTCATCATTGTTGGACAGTTCTGAAGATAATCTCGATTCGTCACGTTGACGCGAGTCACAGTTGTGATGGCAGGCCAAGTTCAGGGACCCACGCTCTACTAGTAGCATCCGTGCGATCATTTGACGCACCGTTGTGGAGGGCAGGTGTCCGTGTAGAGCTCCTTCCCAGCCGTTCGCCGCTGACCAACTGTCATATAGCTTGTTCAAAGCCTACGCACTAGACCCTAGAAGGCATTCCAGCTGGCGGATAAACAGAAGGGAACACGCAAACAAAGAAGCGCTTAGTTGCAGGCCCCAGGCCAAGAACATAGGAAGCACGAGTAAGGTGTGCGGCTCGCGGAGCCCTATACTTCACCACAGGGCCTCCGTCGCTCCGCAAGTCTGAGCTGACATCCGAAGCTCCTTCACCCAAGGCCTGTCCGCAAGACCAACACCGAGCTGGTTGACGACGACGACGATTTGCACCTGGGTTGCCCAGCTGTCGCATGTAGATTGCACGACTTGCCGCTTCGAACTCCTTCCCAACAATCCAATGTTGCTGAATCTTGCACGATGCATGGGATGTAGGTGGATCTAACATATCCAGAAGGCGAAGGGGTGCCTTGTGCCAGAAGGCTTTGAAGGGAGAGAAGTCGCTGCTGTTGGAGCTCCAATCGCAGTAGAGGAGGTTCAGCCGCATAAGCAGCTGTCCTCGGGGGGCTTCGAAGAGTCGGCTTGCTCGCAGCTCTCAACATAGGCACAGCAGGATGGGGTTCGGATTAGAAGTAGCCCGATATCAGACATCAGCCAACCCCTTTCAACGAAATCTGCATGAGATGCCACAGCAGCTCTAGAAGATCTGCCGCTGAGGAACAAAGAAGAGCTGCAGCAGCGCTTTGGCTGCAGAAACAGTCGCGAAATTAGACTCGGGGCGTCTCTTTGGGTATCTTGAAGAGGATGCCTTCTTCATAGAGTTTGTGAGGTATCATGCACTCCCTGGAAATTTCGCATCTCCAGGAATTTGCACCAGGTTCGATTCACACGCTCATCTCGGCATGTAAGGGTTCGAAGTATGGTGGCACGGAACCCAAAGCACCAGCATCCACCATCTCAAGTGCCCATATCATCAAAATCGGCACAAGGAGTGAGCCGAGTAGTCTGAGCAGCTGAATTGACTGTCGAAACGAAAAGAAGCGCCCCGGTCAGTATCGTAGACTCCTGACGAATACACACCCGTTTCTTTACGGGTCCGAATGTTAGGATACCGATTATAGTCCCTTCTGGAGTCGGGGGCTCGTTTTCTCTGAGGGGTCTGCGGTGTCATCCAAGGCATTGGCTCAGACTCGTCTCGCCGTCAAACTTGAGCCCGAGCCCTGCGACTTGATCGGACAGCTAAGCTCCAGAAAGGTTTGGACTCCAAGCAATTTTCAACTCAGAGCTGTTCTGGGAAGTTTCAGGAATGTTTATCGGGCGCACGGTTCGAACTTAATCGTCGTACTGTTGAAGGCCTTTTGTTTTGCCGGCGGTCCCTCAGAGTTCGATCGGCAGAGTGATGAATCTCTTGCTTCAGCTCTGGCTGTCCGACGTTCCGGAGCCTGGACAGGTCGAAAAGTCCGAGCGCGAGCAGGACGATGCATCCGCAGCCCGGCAGACCTTGTTTATGCTGCATCTGTCGAGTTCGACGGGGGTCGACTAAATGGCTCAACAGCCAATCAGGAGCTCCCTCGGGATACAATCCACATATTATATGCCATAAGCCGGGCGAGCATTCTGACAGGATGTTACTTAGCATGGGGTTCTTTTGAAATTGGTGGGGCAGCCATAAAACCCCGTCCAGGAACCTTTTTTCAGAAGTCATGCCCAGGGTGTCACCGGTTTGTCGCCAACCCGGGGGCTTACACCTTCGCTGCCAAGCCGACCAAGCACCGCGAGGTGTTTCGTCTGTTGTGGGGATGGCAAGCTGCCGTGAAAACGAAAAAAGAACATGCATATGTTCAGCGAACTTGATTATGTACACTGTATGCACTGATGGCTGGTCTTGATGCCTTCTGTGTAGACAGTTGCGCACACATTCGGGTTTGTGAGGGGTGTGTTTCGGGCTCTCTTCGTGCAGGCTGTCAGTAGACCGAAGCTAGGACTTGGGCCGCCAGAAGAATAAGCCTTTTTCGGAGCTGTATTGACGTAACTCCCCAGCTCAGTATGTCATGCGTGTGTCAGGTGTGTACCTTGAATAATTTATCTGGTAGCTCCAATCCGGGATCCGAGTCGCCAGCCCCTGAACCTCCAAAAAATCCCTTCATCGCAAGCCGTCAGTGGGAACCCTGACCCAAACTGCAGCCGCGCCTAAACCCCTAAAACCCCGAAAACCGCCATAGCCGCCAAACCCGTTTTTCACCGAACAGTTTTTGCGATCAGAAGGCCGGGGAGCAGGCCCGCCTCTGCGCGGCCGGGCTCTGCGGGTCCGAGAAGGCTCTACGGTTCCTACGGGGCCCATGGGCACCGGACTCCAGGCTCGCTGGACGGCAAAGATGCGGGGGCTCTTTACGGGGTTTCAGGGTTTAGGGCTTGGGGAGTTCAAAGGGCTTGGAAAGTTTAGTGTTGGCCGAGGGTTGAAGTTTAGGGTTTATAGAGATTCGGGTCTACGGTGTTCGAGGTGTACGGAGTTTCGGGTTTTGGCAGGTTAGGGCGGATGGTTTACGGAGCTTCGTGTGTAGGAATTTCAGGGGCTTCGGGTTTACAGAGTATCGGGTTTAGCGAGCTTGTGGTCTATGGTCTACGGAGCTTTCGGGTTTGGAGAGTTGAGGACCTTTGGGACTGTGAGAATTAGGGTTTTCGGAGTGCAAGGTTTTGGGAGTTTGAGGCTCAGGGTTTGGGGAGTTTGCGGCTCAAGGCTTAGGGAGTTTAAGATTTACGGAGTGGTGGAGTCAGGGGATATTTCTGGTGTCTACGGCGGAGGTGTTCTCAGTAAATAAGAGGATGCCTCCGCGATATGATTGCTTCGGGAGCAGCTGGGGAGAGCTTGGGGCGTGGGTTGGGAGTTATGTAGTTGGGAGCAGCTGGGGAGTGGGTTGGGAGCACTAAAGAAGATAACTGCTGAAACCGGCACTTGGGCCCCTCCCGAAGCCGACCCGGATTCTTAAGGAAACCCGAACCGCCCCTCCGAAGACGACCCCGCTACTTGCCCAAAAAGAATTCGGACCTGCAAGAAGGCCCAGTTTGCAGAGCGAATTTGGCTTGAGGTGTGTCTTGGAGGGCGTTTGGCTTAGACTGGAAGGTAGTGAGTAGGTTGGGAGTGGTGGGTTGGGTAGAGGGTTGGAAAGGGTTGGGAGATGCTGTTGGGAGAGTTGGGTTGGGAGAGGGTGGGAGAGGGTGGGAGACGGTCGGGAAAGGGTTGGGAGTGGGTTGGGGTTGGGCGTGGTTGGGAGTGGGGAGGAGGTTGGGAAGGAGGTTGGCAGGAGGTTGGCAGTGGGTTGGGAGCAGGTTGGGAGGAGGTTGGGAGTGGGTTGGGAGGAGGTTGGGAGTGGGTTGGGAGGAGGTGGGTTGGGAGGAGGTTGCGTGGGTTTGGAGGAGGTTGGAGGTTGGGAGTGGGTTGGGAGGAGGTTGGGAGTGGGTTGGGCGAGGTTGGGAGTGGGTTGGGAGGAGGTTGGGAGTGGGTTGGGAGGAGGTTGGGAGTGGGTTGGGAGGAGGTTGGGAGTGGGTTGGGAGGAGGTTGGGAGTGGGTTGGGGAGTGGGTTGGGAGGAGGTTGGGAGTGGGTTGGGAGGAGGTTAGGAGGGCTGGGAGGAGGTTGGGAGTGGGTTGGGAGGAGGTTTGGGAGTGGTTTGGGAGGTTGGGAGTGGGTTGGGAGGGGAGGAGAGGGTTGGGAGAGGGTTGGAGTGGGAGTGTTGGGAGAGGGGGGGAGGGTTGGGAGAGGGTTGGCACCCAACACCATGCTTACGAAGACGACCCAGAGGAAACTGTGACCAAACACCACACTTACGAAGACGACCTAGCAAATATGCATACCCCCACACCCTTTCTTATATAGTGAGAACACCTACTTTGAAGACACCAGAAAAATGCCTGGATGGAGTGCAGGGTTTAAAGAGATTCAGGTCTAAGGAATTTAAGGTTTACGGAGTTTCGGGTTTGGGAGTTTAGGGCTTAAGTTTGCGGAGCTTCGGGTTTAGGAATTGCAGGGCTTTGGATTTACAGTTTCGGGTATAGGTTTACGGAGTTTCTGTTTTAGGGAGTTCGGGGCCTATGTTTTACGGAGATTCGGGTTTAGGGAGTTTAGGGCTTAAGTTTGCGGAGCTTCGGGCTTAGGAATTGCCGGCGCTTTGGGTTTACAGTTTCGGGTTTATGTTTGCGGATTTTTGGGTTTAGCGAGTTCGGGGCCTATGTTTTACGGAGCTTCGGGTTCAGGGAGTTTAAAGCTCAAGTTTGCGGAGCTTCGGGTTTAGGAATTGCAGGGGTTTATGTTTTCAGTTTCGGGTTTAGGTTTACGGATTTTCGGGTTTAGCGAGTTCGGGGCTTATGATTTGCGGAGATTCGGGTTAAGGGAGTTTAGGGCTTAAGTTTGCGGAGCTTCGGGTTTAGGACTTGCAGGGGCTTTGGGTTTACAGTTTCGGGTAGTTTCGGGTTTAGCGAGTTCGGGGCCTATGTTTTAGGGAGTTTCGGGTTTAGGGAGTTTAGGGCTTAAGTTGGCGGAGCTTCGGGCTTAGGAAATGCAGGGGCTTTGGGTTTACAGTTTCGGGTTTAGGTTTACGGATTTTCGGGTTTAGCGAGTTCGGGGCCTATGTTTTACGGAGTTTCGGGGTTAGGGAGTTTAGGGGTTAAGTTTGCGGAGCTTCGGGTTTAGGAATTGCAGGGGCTTTAGGTTTACAGTTACGGGTTTATGTTTACGGGAGTTTCGGGTTTAGCGAGTTCGGGGCCTATGTTTTACGGAGCTTCGGGTTCAGGGAGTTCAGGGGGTTTAGGACTTGCAGGGGCTTTGGGTTTACAGTTTCGGGTTTAGGTTTACGGATTTTCGGGTTTAGCGAGTTCGGGGCCTATGCTTTGCGGAGTTTCGGGTTTAGGGAGTTTAGGGCTATGTTTGCGGAGCTTCGGGTTTAGGAATTGCAGGGGCTTTGGGTTTACAGTTTCGGGTTTAGGTTTACGGATTTTCGGGTTTAGCGAGTTCGGGGCCTATGTTTTACGGAGTTTCTGGTTTAGGGAATTTAGGGGTTAAGTTTGCGGAGCTTCGGGTTTAGGAATTGCAGGGGCTTTGGGTTTACAGTTACGGGTTTAGGTTTACGGGAGTTTCGGGTTTAGCGAGTTCCGGGCCTATGTTTTACGGAGTTTCGGGTTTAGGGAGTTAGGACTTAGAGAGTTTGGGTGTTGGGGCAGCAAGATTGAACGTTTCGTTCTGCCGCCGCTGTGGCGCAGAAAGGTCGAGACTCGGAGTCGAGGGGGTTGGGGTCAAATTCTCGTGCAAACATGGATCCGACGCGGTTTTTGGAACAGCGCTCTAATTCAGCATTAGCCCTGATCCCTCGGAGCCACTACGCACAGTCAAGAAGCCGGGAAGCTGCTTTCATCTTTGCAGCTGTTTCTTTGCTCCGCTGGACATTGCGGTATCTTTTTCGTCGGTACACCAGCCTTTGCAGCTGCCTTGAGGTCGGCAAAGCTCGGGAACGCCTCCACGGCGCGGCAAAGGGCAGGAGACCTCGAAGTCACTTCGCATGGCTGTTCCTCTTCGATCTTGATTCTGCTTTAGATGGTTCTATCCTTCGGGCATCGGCTTTCATGATGTGCCACTGCCGATTTCTGGTGCATCACGTATTACCGCAGCGAAGCACAAGCGAGGAGGCAAGACCTGCATCCGCCCCGATTGTGTCGGAGGCGGGCTGCCTTGTCTTGAGCCAAACACACGGGAATGGGATATGTTGTGAAGGGGTCCTCAGAATTAGGATCCTTCACTGATACATAGTGCATGATATTGGGGAGTGTTTGAGCTAAATTGCTTCGGGTGAAAGTCGCAGGCATACCGTGGCCGTGGCTAGCATCAGCATCCTGTGCGCATCAAGTGCCATGCGAGGTCGAGTCCATTCCGAGAGCTCCAGCTCTGATGCCTCGCTCCAGGCCCACTGACGTGCTGTTGTAGAAGTGAGGGAAGCTTCTTGGAACATGCTTTTGGGGGTCGTTATAGCCTGGATCCGTCTGGGGGAGGTGCACACGTCATTGATAATGAAGATTTGTTTGTGTTGCATTGCCGTATGTAGACAAAGACCGGAGCAGCCCAGGCAAGCTCCGCTTCGTGTCGGCAGCAGGGTCTCACTCAGGTTTGATGGTACTTCGTCAGTTCCAAGCCGGAAACTTTGAACCCTGCACCTTCAACCAGCTTAGCGACATACGGAACGATGGCTTCCAGAGCCGTGCACGCTGAAAATACGACCGAACTTGTCAAGCCGAGTGATCGAGTATGGCACCGTGTGTGAAGCCTGGTGCTGGGCAGACAAGGAACCGAGGGCAAGCTTAGAGGTGTAGTTTTTGCTGCAGGGTACGCACTTTCTTTTCGCGGCGCTTCTACTATGCCTCAGTCAGATTTGGCTTTCTCGACTTTGGATATCCAGCGGAGAGACAGGAGACTTCCAAAACAAACCCTAAACCAGCGCTGATTTGAATCTCAGACGGTTTTGGACCAAAGCCTTGTTTTCGAGGCTGCGGCGCTTTGGGTGCCTGGCTGAGCCATCAGAGGGTTGTTGATGCACTCTGTTCTGAGAGGTTCCAAAGAGTTCAGGAGACTTACCAGAGTTCTGGGAGAAAAGTCGACTTGGAGGTTCGAGGCGCAATGATTTGTGGGAGTGTAGGGACCCAGACCCATTTGCTTACAACGTGAAAATGCAAGACAGCTGTTGCACCTTACCTTTGCGTTTCGCGGTCCGTTGGTCGAAAGGATACGATGACCGTCCCAGGGGGCAAAGCATTGCCAAGGCGGCCATCGACACCTGTCCAGAGAGGGCCGAAGCAGGAAGGCTGCCTCCACATGGCCTATGCTGCTTGTCCCGGTTTTGGGGCTTACAGTGCCTAAGACAAGGGACCATTTCGACAGTAGAGAGTGTTTGAGTCGGCTCTATCCGTATTTGTTCCAGACGCACGTGGACACTATAGTTCATGAGCCTGCCGCTGACACTGCGTCCACGAGTGTTTTCGCGTTCCAATCCAGATGTCACGCTAAGTTGGATTATTTGGCATACGGTTCAAGTCGAAACTTTGCTCTCTTGCCGCAGGTCCCAGGAGCACTTTTCAGTGCCACTAGTGAAAATATTTGCCAGGAAATTTTGGGAGTGGGTGGCACATGCCAATAACTAAGCAATTACAACCTGTTCCGAGGTTCTCCATCGGCCCCTGTCAGCAGCTGCCAAAGTGTC